AGACAAAGGGTTACAAAGCTTATTTAAATAAATAACAACAGAAAACTTTCCAAATCTGGGGAAAGGTATAAATAAGTACAGGAAGATCAAAAGTTCTAATCAGATTCAATCCAAACAAGACTATATCAGGACATATGGTTAAACTGTCAAAAATAAAAGAGGATTCTGAAAGCAGCTAGAGAAAAGCAAATCACATATAAGGGAGTTCCAAAAATGCTAGCAGCAGACTTTTCAGCAGAAACTTTATAGTCCAGGAGAGAGTGGGGTGACATGTTCAAAGTGTTGAAGGAAAAAAACCCGGTCAACCAAGAATACTGTATTCAACAATGCTGTAATTCACAAAGAGAAACATAAAGACTTGCCCAGACAGCGCTAAGGGAGTTCATCACTACCAGACATGTCTCAAAAGAAACGTTAAAGGAAGTTCTCCAAGCTGAAATAAAAGGATGCTAATTAGTAACAAGAAAGTATAAAACTCACTGTTAAAAGTAAATCCACAGTCAAGTTCGGAATTAATACTGTAATTGTCGTGTCAATAATTTGTATCTCTAGTGTGAACATTAAAAGACTATTAACAATAGTGACAATAATTTGTTAAGGGATGTCTTCACTGTCGAGTTCTATCAAATGTTTAAAGAAGGATTAATGCCAATCTGTATTAGTCTGTTTTCACACTGCTGTAAAGAACTCCCTGAGACTGGGTAAATTATAAAGAAAACAGGTTTAATTGACTCACAGTTCTGCATGGCTGGGGAGGCCCCAGGAAACTTACAAACATGGCAGAAGGTGAAGAGGAAGCAGGGCACATCTTACATGGTGGCAGGAGAGAGAGAACAAGGGCGGAAGTGCCACACTTTTGAACTATCAAATCTTGTGAGAACTCACTATCATGAGAGCAGCATGGGAGGAAGCGCCCCCATGATCCAATCACCACCTACAATGTTGCTCCCTCCACACATGGAGATTACAGTCTGAGATGAGATTTGTGTGGGGAGACATAGCCAAACCATATCACCATTTTTTCTTAAACTCTTCCAAAAAACTGAAGAGGAAATACTTCCAAATTTATTTTATGAGGCCAACATTACCCTGATATCAAAGCCACAAAAGGACACTAGAAGAAAAGAAAATCACAGGCCAATGTCCCTGATGAACATAGATGCGGAAATCCTGAACACATAGTAGCAAACTGAATTATATGGCACATTAAAGGATCATTCCTTGTTACCAAGTGGGATTTATTTCAGGGATGCAAGGATGGTTCAACATAGGCAATTTTTTTTTTTTTTTGAGATGGAGTTTTGCTCTTGTCACCCAGGCTGGAGTGCAATGGCATGATCTTGGCTCGCTGCACCCTCCACCTCCTGGGTTCAAGCAATTCTCCTGCCTCAGCCTTCTGAGTAGCTGGGACTACAGGTGCATGCCACCATGCCCGGCTAATTTTTGTATTTTTAGTAGAGATGGGGTTTCTCCACATTGACCTGGCTGGTCTCAAACTCCTGACCTCAGGTGATCCACCTGCCTCAGCCTCCAAAGTGCTGGGATTAGTGGTGTGAGCCACCATGCCTGGCTAACATATGCAAATTAATAAAGGTGATGCACCACACTAACAGAATGTAGAGCGACAAACCTATGATCATCTCAATAGATGCAGAAAAATTGTTTGAAAGAATTCATTAACCTCTTATGATAAAAACTCAACAAATTAGGAAAAGAAGGAATGTACTTCAGTGCAGTAAGGACTATATATTTCAAGCCCACAACTGACATCATACTCAATGGAAAAACAAAAAGTCGAAAGCTTTCCCTCTAAGATCAGGAACACAACAAGGGTGCTCACTCTTACCACTTCTATTCAGCATAGTACTGGAGGTCCTAGACAGAGCACTTAGACAAGAGAAATAAATAAAAGGCATCCAAATGGGAGAAGTAGAAGTTAAATTGCTCCTGTTTGCAAATGACATGGTTTTAAATATGTGGAAAACCCTAAAGATTTCACCAAAAGACTGTTAGAGTAAATAAATTCAGTGAAGACGCAGAATACAAAGTCAACATTAGAAAACCAGTAGTGTTTTTATATACTAACAATGAAGTACCTATAAAATAAAGAAAACAATCTCATTTATAGTAGCTACCAGAAAAATAAAATACTTGGGAATACATTTAACCAAGGAAGTAAGATACCTGTATACTGAAAACTGTAAAACATTGATGAAAAAAATTGAAGACAGAAATAAATGGAAACACTATATGTGTTCATGGATTGAAAGAATTAATATTGTTGAAATGTCCATACTACTTAAAGGGATCTACAGATTCAATGCAATCCCTATAAAAAGTCCAAGGATTCTTCACAGAAATAGAAAAAGCAATTCTAAAATTTATATGGAAAGCAATTGTAAAAATCTATATGGAACAAAAGATCCTAGAGAACCAAAGCAATTCAGCAAAAATAACAAAGTGGGAGGCATTATTACATTACTTGACTTTAAAACATACTCTGAAGCGGTAGTAATCAAAACAGCATGATACAGTCGTAAAAACAGACATATAAACCATAGAACAGAGCAGAAAGCCCAGATACAAATATATGGATTTATATTTAATTGATTTTTGGCAAAGGTGCCAAGGATACATGATGGGGAGAGGACAGTCTCCAATAAATGGTGTTGGGAAAACTGGATATCTGCATGAAGAAGAATGAAGTTAGACCCTTATCTCACCTCATATTAAAAAAAAAAAACTCAAAGTGAATTAAAGCTTTACATGTAAGACCAGAAACTCTAAAATTGCTAGAGAAAAGTAGGGAAAAAGTTTTATGACACTAGTTTAGGCAGTGATTTTTTTTTTTTTTTTTTGGATATGACTCCAAAAGTACAGACAACAAACATGAAAATAGACAGATGGGAGTACATCAAACTAAAAATCAGCTGTACAGCAAAGGAAGCAATCAACAGAGTGAAGAGACAACCTACAGAATGGGAGAATATATTTCCAAACCATACATCTGATGAGGGGTTAATATCCAGAATAGGAAGCCAAACAACTCAATGGCAAGAAAACAATGCAATTAAAAAATGGGCAAAGGATCTGAATAGACATTCCTATAAAGAAAATAGACAAATAGCCAACATGTATATGAAAAAAGGCTCACCTTCTCTAATCATCGGCTCAACTTCTCTAATCGGAAGTGCAATTAAAACCACAATGAACTACCACCTCACACCTGTTAGAATGGCTATTATAAAAAAGACAAAAGTGTTGGTGAGGATGTGAGAAAAGAAAATCCTAGTATGCTGTTGCAGGAATATTAGTATAGCCATTATGGAAATCAATATGGAGGTTCCTAAAAAAATTAGAAGTAGAACTACCATATGATCCAGCAATCCCAGTACTAGGTATATAATGAAAGGATGTGAAATCAGTATGTGGAATGGATATTTGCATTTTCATGTTAATTGCAAATTGCAGCACTATTTGCCATAGTCAAGATATGAAATCAGCCTAAGTGCTCATCAGTTGGTAAATGGATAAAAAAAGTGGTATATTTACACAGTGGGATACTATTCAGTCTTGAAAATGATAAAAATCCTTTTGTTTGTCACTACATGGATGACAAAATATTAAGTGAAATAAGCCAGGCACAGAAAGAGAAATACCATATGATCTCACTTACATGTGGAATCTGAAAAAGTTGAACCTGTAGAAGTAGAGAGTGAATGGTGTTTATCAGGGACTGTGAGGTTTGGGGTGGAGTGGGGGTCGAGGAGGATGGTTGGAGGAGATGTTGATTAGAGGGTACAAAATTTTATTTAGATACAAGGAATAAGTTTGAAAGATCTATTGTATAACATGGTAATGATAATAACAATGTATTTCTGAAAATGCTGCTATGTACATGTATGTACAAGTTCTATGTGGTCATATGTTTTCATTTCTTGTGAGTATAATGTAGGTGTGGGATTGTTTGGTCATATGATAACTCTATATTGAGCATTTTGAGGGACTGTCATTTTCTAAAATGACTGTACTGTTTTAAACCAATGTATGAGGATTCCAATATTTCCATATCCTCACCGGTACTTGTTATTATCTGTCTTTATTACAGCTATCCTAATGGGTGTGAAGTGGTATCTTATTGTGGTTTTGGTTTGCATTTCCCTGGTGGCTAATGATGTTGAATATTATTTAAATAATGTGGCTTATTGACCATTTGTATATCTTCTTTGGAGGAAAGCCTGTTCAGGTACTTTGAGGCCTATGTAATTTTATGCTTTTTTTTTTTTTTTTTTTTTTTTTTTAAAGCAGCTTTGGGAGAACATGAAGTTAAAACCAGTGCATTCTACTTTATTCATGTCAGAAGTAGCTATCTCATGATACCCATAGGCATCTCTCACACTTTCTTTGGGAGTCTACTCAAATATCACCTTCTTAGCATTTCTTGATCGTCCTCTCTAAAGAGGCACTCTTTCCCCATCTCTGTTTGCTTCTTTACCCTATTTTATTTTTCTGCAGTGCACTTACTACTCTCTGATGTTGTAATTAAGTTTTATTGGTTTACGTTGTTCCCCAGTGGGATGTAGGCTAATTGAGGATAGTGGTCTTGTTTTGCTCACTTGGCATACTAGTAGGGCCTCAGTAGATACTGTCTGAATGGATGAGTGAATAAATGAATGTGTGAAAAGACTAGGCTCTGGAGTCTGCCACTCACTAGTTTTGGAATCTCGAGCAAGTTATTTACCATTTCTCGGATTTAAAATCTTCATCTGTGAAACCTTAGTAGTAAGAGTACTTATGTCATTGGGTTGCTGTGAGGATTAAATCGGTTAGCATGTGTAAAGCAGTAAACACCATGCCAGTACTCTAAGGAAAAAAAAAACTGTTTTATATTTTTCTTTGCTTTTGGCATGTTACGTGGAGTTTTGTGTGTTTGCGAGGAATATGTGTTTGCCTTTTAAAGGACTCATGTAAACTAGAATTTTTTTTTCTTTTTTTTCTAGGGAATGCAGAGAGCAACCAACGTCACCTACCAAGCCCATCATGTCAGCAGGAACAAGAGAGGTCAGGTGGTGGGGACCAGAGGTGGCTTTCGTGGTTGCACAGTTTGGCTAACAGGTATGGTCAAGAGAGATAAAGCAATTTATTTTAAAAATAGTGCATATAGGTAACCTTGGACTAGGCATAGGCAAAATTTTGAGCTCTGTTCTTGTATTTGGAGCATCATGACGTATAACTGACATAGTTGCTTAATAACATTTCTTGTAATTTTTTTTGTTCTTTTATAGGATTGCTGTTAAATAAAGGTAAAAACCACAATGCACCTTAAAACTACTTTTTCATAGATACTACATTACATTCTACACACTTCTGAGTGCAAATAAGATCCAGATTCTGCTCTAAGAAGCTAACAGTGAAAACCGTATACATCTTAGTTTATTTTATGCTGTTATAACAGAATACCAGAGACTGGGTAATTTATATGAATAGAAATTTATTTCTGATAGTTCTGGAGGCTGAGAAGTCCAAGATTGAGGGACTAGCATCTGGCGAGGGCCTTCTTGCTATGTCTGTAATATGGCAGAAGGAGTCACATGGTGAGAAAGAGCAAAAGATTGAATTCACAGCCTCAATCCCTTTTATAGATGGATTATTCCATTAATGAGGGTGGAGCCCTCATGACTTAAACACCTCCATTAGACCGCATCATTCAACACTGTTGCATTGAGGATTAAGTTTCCAACACATGAACTCTGAGAGACACATTCAAACCATAGCATGGTATAACCAGAAAAAATGAGTGGTAAGAATTTTCACAAAGTGAATTTCTATTATTCAGCTTTTGTTTGGCCTTTGATTGTTTCTATTGTGTTGGTTTCCATAGAGTCTGTCCTTTGGTCTAGTCATAGCAGGCTGGTGAGTGACTGAATTGATACAGATTTTGAAGTAGCTTTAAAAATGATGGATGCTTTCACTTCTATGAATTATATTTAAAATTTTGATACATTTTGCCACATTGCCCACTAAAACTTTATCCCAATTTACTCTCCTACCAGCAGTATGGGGGGGTGTTTATTTCGCAGTGTCTTTGTCAACAGTGGTTGTTACCAGTTCTTAAAAATTTGTACTGATTGGCAAAAAAGTTACTGTTTTTTTAATCATGTTTCATTTTTAGACAGGTCTGTTCGTTTTTGTATGAAAGCAGATACACTCTCACATTCTTCCCATTTCTTCATTCTTAATTCCAGACAGTTGTTAAATTGTTACATTTTTATTGCCAAGGTTTATAGTACTTAATGGGTCAGTAGTTGGTAGCTCACCATCGGTTCTTTTACTATGACATGTTCACTTACAAGCTCTTTATTTGAATGGTCTTGTCTGTATTTCCTTGTTAAATAATTTTTGCAAGGTGGCCTTCCATTAGGTTCGGAACTCCTGGAGGTTTTATGTTTGAGAAAGTCTGACTATCTTTTATGCCAACTTGGCTGGGTAAAATATATATTTGGTTCATACTTTCTTGGTCTTGGAATTTTAAAAACAGTACTCTGTTGTCTTCTGGCATTAAATGTTTTTGAAGAAGTGTGAGTCTAATAAGCTTTTTCTTTTTAGGAGCTTTCCTTTTTTCATCTGGATGACTAAGGAATTATTTATTTCCCTGTAAAAATACAGGGAAATAGAGGCTTTTGTCATTGTCAATTAGGTCCTTATCTGCAGTTGATTTTTGTGTATAGTGTGAGGTACAGATTCATTTTCGTTTTTTTCCATGTGACTGATCACTTGTCCCAAGAACATAGATTGATGAGGGTATCTTTTTTCTCTAATCTGCAGTCACTGCTCTGTTATCAGGTCTCCACTTATGTGTGGGCCCTCTGCTCTGTCCCACTGATATATTTGTCTCTTCCACTGTTAATGCCACATTTCTTAGTTACTATATTTTTATAAATCTTGAAAGACAGTGGAGTAAGTCCTCTTACCTTGTTCTTTATCAGCAGTGTTGCCTTTTTTTTTCATTGTGACTTCCTTTTTTTTTTTTTTTTCCTGGCTGTTAGTGTTGTGTGAATCTTGTAATAGATTTAACCAATTCCCCAGAACTCTGTTGTTATTTAGTTTGGGATTGCATTGTATCTAAGGTTAGTTTTTGGGGAAAATTGATCTTTAGAATATTGGGTACTCTTTTTCTTAAACATAGTATTTTCCATTTATTTCATCACTAATGATACTTATAAATAAAGCTTATCTGATTTTTTGGTACTTACTCTATGGTCTACTATGTAATAAGTTTTCAGTCATCACCTTGCCCTGACCCTATGCCTTCCTCAATTGGGACAGGATGGCTACAGTTGGCTGGAGTTGGTATTTCCCTTCCCCCAGGTCAGTTAGGTTCCAATAAAACCTCAGCAGTTTAGGCTTTGGTTAAATAGTTTCTCCTGAGTTCAGTCCTTGTTAAAAAAAATCTGGTGCTCTGGTATATTTCAGAATGGAAGCACTTGGGGATTTTTCTTCAGTACTTACTGTGAGAACCTGATTGAGCTCCTGGAGGTGAAACTCTCAATGTTGTGGGGACCTCCCTGTAACTAGGTTCCTTTGAAATTTTTACTCTCAGACTTGTCCACACTGAGCCTTAATTCATTCATCAATTACAGTTTAGGGTTTTCTGTGTGACCCTGGTTCCCACAGCACTTTTCCCCACAGTGAGTCTCTCCTCCAGTCAATCGTCACTCCCTGCATTTGCCTGTCTCCCCATTCATGGGGGCAGCGCTTTGCCCCTTGTCCTCCCCTCACTGACGGATCCAAGAAGAGTTATTCTGTTCAGGTTTTTACTTGTTCGGATGTAATGGTGACTTTCAAGCTCCTCCCATGTGGACCTGGAAAACTTGTAGTTTTCATAAACGTGTATTTGAAAAGAATATGTATTCCCCTGTTGTATGCAGTATTCTGTATAATAGACTAAACTTGTTAGTTTTGGTGTCAAGTCTTCTGTAGCCTTCATATGTATATGTTTTTTGATAATGATGTTCGACATGGAAGTCAAGATTTGTTTTTTTCTTGCAATTCAGATGCTTAACCTGGATCTGCCCAAGGTATTGAGTGATTTTTGTATACTGTTTTGCTAGACATGGTTCACTTTTTATCAGATTTTATTTTAGGGAAATTTTGTTGTTTTGTGTTTCTACATTGGTTGGTATGTTAACTTCCCAGGGCTCTCATAACAAATTAACCACAAAATGGGAGGGAGAAATTTATTCTCCCACAGTTCTGGAGGCTAGAAGTTTGAAATTAAGTTTGTGGTGAGGTTGATTCCTCTGGTAAGTGCTGAGGGAGAATCTGTTCTGTTCCCCTCTTAGCTTCTGCTGGTGGCTGGCAGTCCTTGGTGTGTGGACGGATCACTCCAATCTCTGCTTTTGTCTTATAGCCTTGTAATAACACCAGCTGTTGGATTTAGGGTCCACCCTAATCCAGTATGATCTTCTCTTAATTTAAGTTTGATTGTGTTTGTAAAGACTCTATTTTCAGATAAGGTCACCTTCTGAGGTTCTGGGTGGACACGAATATTTGGGGAACAGTATTCAACCCAGTAGAACTGGTTTCTATTCTTCAGGTATACCAGTTATCCGTATCTTAGATTTGGATTGCTTATCTTGTATTACCAATTTCCTCTGACTGCTCTGTTGACTGTAATTATTAACTGAAACTGTTTATGTCAGTAATTCAATTTCAACAGTGCTTATTCTTTGTTTCAAATTAAATATGCACTTAAAACATATAAATACACATGTATGTATGAACAGACACGTTTATTATAATTTAGGTTGTTTTTGTTGTATAAAAGTTTAGAGTTTCAGATTTTTTTCCCCTGATACTTGGTGCTCAATTGGTGGTTAAAAACAATTCAGAAGAAATCAAGAACAGCCTCTTTCACCCAGCCACCATCCCTTTGTTCCACTTACTGTTACTGTGTAACAATTTGCCTAAAACCCAGTGTTGTAAAACAATCGGCATTTAACTTTGCTTACCATTTTGAAGGTAAGGGATGTAAGAGGGCTCAGATAGGCAGCTTTGCTTAGGTCTTGCTTGGTTGTTGTCATGCTGGCCTGGGCCACAGCCATCTGAAGTTTCACCTTGGCTGGATATCCAAGATGACTTACTCAGATGCTGCTGGTTGTCAGCTGGGAGGTTAGTGGGCTGAGACTGGCTGGTACACCTGCTTGGGATCACGTTAGCATAGTGGTCTCGAGGGATTGAGTCACTGGCATCTCCCAAATTAAGTGACCAAAGAAAAGCTGCATAGCATTTTCTGACCTAGCCTTAGTAGTCACACATCGTGTCACTGTTTCACTACATTCTTTTGGCTACAGGTAAGCCCTAAAGCCAGCCCACATTTCAGGGCAGGGAATTAGTACCTCTTGATGTGACAGTAGTAAAGTCACATTGTAGACACTTGTAGGATGGAATATTCAGTTGCAGCCATCTTTGGAAAATGCAGCTGGCTACAGTCATTAATATCGGTTTTTAATGTATAAAGCAACTGACACTATATCGATGCTCTCAAAATATCCTCCTCTTCTTTTTTTTTTTTTAATTTTACTTTAAGGTCTGGGATGCATGTGTAGAACGTGCAGGTTTGTTACATGTGTGTGGCATGGTGGTTCGCTGCACCTTTTAACCGTCATCTGGGTTTTAAGCCCCACATGCATTAGCTATGTATCCTGATGCTTTCCCTCCCCTCCCCTCCCCACCCCCCGCCCTCCCGACGACAGGCCCCAGTGTATGTTGTTTCCCTCCCTGTGTCCATATGTTCAGCTCCCGCTTATGAGGGAGAACATGTGATGTTTGGTTTTCTTTTCTTTTTTTTTTTTTTTTTTAAGAGATCTGAAGTGATTTTACCTTTATTTCCTTCACTTTAAGCCAATCATGAAATTTCACAGTGATTTCTGGTGTGGGGGTAGAAGGAAGGCGGTGTTAAGAACCATCGGGGCTGTGGCCCAGTCAGCCCGCGGAGGTGCAGGCAGGGTGGGCCCTCACTGGGGCAGCTGGAGGAGCACAGACTGCCCCGCTGGCAGGTAGGTGATGTTCCGAGAACGTGAGAGCTGGTATGCGATGTCCTCCACCGCTTCCAGCTTGCGCAGCTCGATCAGGCCATCCCCTGCAGTGGCCAGTGAGTTGGCAATCAGCTCAGCCGCCTTGGAGTCACCCTCAGCAGAGATGATGGCTGCCTTTTTTTGCTGCTCAGCCTTTTCCACCACAAATCTGGCCCTCTCTGCTTCCTGCTGAGCCACCTGTTTGGCTTCCACCGCTTCTGTGAACTCCTTCCCGAAGGTCAGATGTGTCAAGGACACGTCATCCAGGATGAGCCCAAAGGTGGCTGCTCGCTCTGTAAGATCGTTGCTCACCTGCCTGGCGACCAGCTCTCTCTGGGTGATTAGTTCTCCAGCATCAAAGCGAGCCACCACTGACTTGAGGATCTCGGTCGTGATGGACGGCAGCACACGCTCATCATAGTCCTCTCCGATGCTGGTGAAGATGCGAGGAAGCTGGCTAGCGATGGGCCGGAAGAGGATGCGCAGTGTGATGTTGACATTCTGTAAATCTTTGCTACCAGTGATGACTGGCACATTACGTGGTCGAGAACGGCAGTCAAAGATAATTGGTTTCTGTACCCATGGGATGAGAAAGTGAGTCCCTTCCCCTACCACAATGTCCTGTACTCCACGGAACCGGTCAAAGATGACAGCTCTGTGCCCAGCATCCACATTATATAAGGCAGAGTTCACCACGCCTCCTGCAACAGCTAAGGCCAGGCCAAACTTGCCAATGGACTCAAACACTTTGGCAGCCATGTTTTCTTCTGCTGGACCCTCTCACACCTGCTTCCACTCTGACCTCCACATGAACTCCCCCGCGATGTTTGGTTTTCTGTTCCTGTGCTAGTTTGCGGAGGATGATGGCTTCCAGCTCCATCCGTGTCCCTGCAAAGGACATGATCTCATTCCTTTTTATGGCTGGCATAGTATTCCATGGTGTATATGTACCACATTTTCTTTATCCAGTCTATCATTGATGGGCATTTGGGTTGGTTCCATGTTTTTGCTGTTGTAAATAGTGCTGCAGTAAACATACATGTGCATGTATCTTTATAGTAGAATGATTTATATTCCTTTGGGCATATACCCAGTGATGGGATTGCTGGGTCAAATGGTATTTCTGGTACTAGGTCCTTGAGGAATCATCACACTGTCTTCTACAATGGTTGAACTAATTTACATTTCCTACCAACAGTGTAAAAGCGTTCCTGTTTCTCCACAGCCTCTCCAGCATCTGTTGTTTCTTGACATTTTAGTAATAGCCATTCTGACTGGCATGAGATGATATCTCATTGTGGTTTTGATTTACATTTCTCTATTGATCAGTGATGCTGAGCTATTTTTCATCTGTTTGTTGGCCACATAAATATCTGCTTTTGAGAAGTATCTGTTCATATCCTTTGCCCACTTTTTGATGGAGTTGTTTCTTGTGTATTAAGTTCCTTATAGATTCTGGATGTTAGACCTTTGTCAGATGGGTAGATTGCAAAAATTTTCTCCACGTACGCAAATCAGTAAATGTTATTCCATCACATAAACAGAACCAATGACAGAAACCACATGAATATCTCAATAGACACAGGAAGGGCCTTTGATAAAATTCAACATCTATGTTAAAAACTCTAAATAAACTAGGTATTGATGGAACATATCTCAAAATGATAAGAGCTATTTTTGACAAATGTATAGCCAATATCTTACTGAATGGACAAAAGCCAGAAGCATTCCCTTTGAAAACCAGCAAAAGACAAAGATGCCCTTTCTCATCACTTCTAGTCAACATAGTATTGGAAGTTCTGGCTGGGGCAATCAGGCAAGAAAAATGAATAAAGTGTATTCAGATAGGAAGAGAGGAAGTCAAATTGTCTCTGTCTGCAGATGACATGATTCTATATTTAGAAAGCCCCGTAGTCTCAGTCCCAAAACTCCTTAAGCTGATAAATAATTTCAGTGAAGTCTCAGGATACAAAATCAATGTGCAAAAATCACAGGCATTCTTATACGCCAACAATTGACAAGCAGAGAGCCAAATCATGAATAAACTCCCATTCACAATTGCTACAAAGAGAATAAAATACCTACGAATACAACTTGCAAGGGATGTGAAGGACAAGGAGAACTACAGACCACTGCTGAGGGAAATAATAGAGGACACAAACAAATGGAAAAACATTCCAACCTCATGGATAGGAAGAATCAGTATCGTGAAAATGGCCATACTGCCCAAAGTAATCTATGGATTCAATGCTATTCCCATCAGACTATCATTTGATATTCTTACAGAATTAGAAATAAAGTACTTTAAATTTCATATGGAACCAAAAAAGAGCCCTCTATTTTTTTTTTTATTCCGGTTAGCCTTCTGTACTACCATGAATTCTTTCAAGAGCATTGGTACATTAGACTTTAGTATTTTTTTATATCTTGCTTTAGAAGTATCTTGGTTACGACACTCGCCAAGTTGGCAAATAATTGTGCATAAATGTACTCTTTCCTTCTCCTCCTTGTTTACTGAGTAAACACTGTTGGTATAGGAAGATGAGTTGAAATGAGGGTGTTCTATTAAGATTAATTATATTATAAATTGGACTCTCAGATAGTTGTAGCAAGGTGGTTTGTGAGTGCTGATGATCTAGGAAAATGGAGGTACCTTTGTAACATTTCTTACTTTTGTCCTTTCTTTTTCTTCCCTCACCAGAAATAATTTGGGCATATGACTTTGTTTTAAAATTTGGCATGCTGCTTTAGAAAAGTGGTAACGAGAGGACAAAGTGAATTCCCAACCATGTCTGCTAATAAAGTTAGTTAAGCCTTTCTGAAGTTTATCAGTGATTTCTGATACCTTTGCTCATAGATATTTCATTAAAACAAACTCTTTTTATGTTTAAACTGTAGGTGTTTTCCTAGGTAAGAGGTAAATCTTAAATAGAAATATTAGATAAGAACATTACTGAGAGATTGCTGTGCATAATGAATGTATTTAGTCCTGTGATTAAAATTTTTTGTATCTCTTGAGACCAGGAGTTTGAGACCAGCTGGAGCAATATATTGAGAATTCTGTCTCTACGAATAATAAAATAAGTTGGATGTGGTGGCAAGTGCCTGTTGTCCCAGCTATTCAGAAGGCTGAGGCATGATCTCTTGAGTCCAGGAGTTTGAGGCTGCAGTGAGCTATGCAGCCTCTGCACTCCAGCCTGGGTGGCAGAGCGAGACCCTGTTTCTGGGGAAAAAAAAAGTATTACTACATAATTATCCTTCTAACTTTACACATGGAATCTGTTTGGACTGTTTAATTTTAGGCTTGTCTGGAGCAGGAAAGACTACTGTGAGCATGGCTTTGGAGGAGTACCTGGTTTGCCATGGTATTCCATGCTACACTCTGGATGGTGACAATATTCGTCAAGGTCTCAATAAAAATCTTGGCTTTAGTCCTGAAGACAGAGAAGAGAATGTTCGACGCATCGCAGAAGTTGCTAAACTGTTTGCAGATGCTGGCTTAGTGTGCATCACAAGTTTCATATCACCTTATACTCAGGTATGTGGTTTTTGTGCCATTGCCTTTCTGATTACATTTACTAAAAATATATCAGGCAAAGCACATACTTTAAACATTGATATGTGCTTTGAGGCTCACTCTGCTCCTCCCCAGCTACCATCTCTTTGTTCGTCAAACATAGGATTAAAATAACCTAAAACATTTCTATGCTGTGACTTTCTAAGTAAATCCGGTTTTGATAAAACCTGCTTTTAAAAAAGCCCTGAAGTATAGCACAGTGGTTGAATTCAAGCCAATGACCAAATTATTTCAAGCTCGACTTTTCAACTTAATAAACCTATAGTGAATGCTTGACAGATGTCATACTCCGGAGAAAATCTAAGTTTCTTAACATGTGCCCTACCATGGCTTCTTGGCTCAGAATTCGTTGTTCTTAGCTTGCATCATAGTTCCTCTTATTTTAGAGATTGCAGCAACAACAAACCATGTTTGTGTATTTCTCTGAAAAAATTATGTCATTTCTTATATCAGGATTTTTGTTTCCTCCCTGCCTGGAAAGCAGTCTTCTCCCTCACATTGTCAGCTGACTTCTAGCCATACATTGAGACTCAGGTTAGGTACCTTAACACTTTATTTTATTTTCTTCAACTTTTATTTTAAGTTCAGGACTATATGTACAGGTTTGTTAAATCGGTAAACGTGTGCTATGGTGGTTTGCTATGCAGATCATCCCATCACCTAAGTATTAAGCCCAGCATCCGTTAGCTATTCTTCCTGATGTTCTCCATCCCCACCCACAATAGTCACCAGTGTGTGTTGTTCCCCCCATGTGTCCATGTGTTCTCATTATTCAGCTCCCACTTATAAGTGAGAACATACAGTATTTAATTTTCTGTTTCTGTGTTAGTTTGCTGAGGATAATGACTTCCACCTCCATCCAAGTCCCTGCAAAGGACATGATATCATTCCTTTTTTAGCTACATAGTATTCCATGATGTATGTGTACCACATTTTCTTTATCCAGTCTACCATTGATGGGCATTTAGGTTGATTCCATGTCTTTGCTGTTGTGAATAGTGCTGCAGTAAACATACTCATGCATGTATCTTTGCAATAGAGTGATTTATATTCCTTTGGGTATATACCCAGTAATGGGATTGCTGGGTCAAATGGTATTTCTGCCTCTAGGTCTTTGAGGATTCACCACACTGTCTTCTACAATGGTTGAACTAGTTTACACTCCCATCTACAACGTAAAAGCATTCCTTTTTCTCCACTAGCTCAGCAAGATCTGTTGTTTCTTGACTTTCTAATAACAGCCATTCTAACTAGTGTGAGATGGTATCTCATTGTGGTTTTGATTTGCATTTGTCTAATGATCAGTGATGTTGAGCTTTTTTTCTATGTCTTCTTAAGAGAAGGGTCTGTTCATATATCCTTTGCCCACTTTTTAATGTTTTTTTTTCCTTGTAAATTTGCTTAAGTTCCTTGTTGATCCCATTCTGTAGGTTGTCTGTTCACTATGATGATAGTTTCTTTTTCTGTGCAGAAGCTCTTTAGTTTAATTAGATCCCATTTGTCAAATTTTGCTTTTATTGCAATTACTTTTGATGTTTTTGTCATGAAATATTTTGCCTGTGCCTGTGTCCTGAATAGTATTGCCTAGATTTTCGTCTAGGGTTTTTATAGTTTTGGGTTTCATATTTAAGCCTTTAATCCATCTTGAGTTAATTTTTGCATATGGTGTAAGGAAAGGGTCCAGTTTCAATTTTCTGCATATGGCAAGCCAGTTCTCCTAGCACCATTTATTAAATAGGGAATCCTTTCCCACTGCTTGTTTTTGTCAGGTTTGTCAAAGATCAGATGGTTGTAGGTATGCATATGTTATTTTTAAAAACTCAGTTCACTGGTGATACTGATAGTAGCTGTAGTGATAATAATATTAACATTTATTGAACACTTTACTGTGTTCTGGTAATTGCTAGAGTGCTTTTCTGTGAATTAACTAAAGTAATTCTTGTCTCCAAGTGGGGAGACAAGGAAACAAAGGTGTGCATTGCCCAAGGTCACACACTATACTTGTAGAAGAGCAAGGTTTGCACCCAGATAGTGCATCTCGTAAGCTTAGGTGCTATGCTGCCTCAAAACTCCACTGTCTCCTTGACAGCTGGGACCGCGTCTTACTCGCCTTTGTAATCTTGGTGCCAAGCCTGGCTCTTGGACCATACTATATGATTAGCGTTTGTTGGACAATAACATACTCCCTTGGGAAGCCCTGATATCAGTGAAGAAGCGAGTTAGTATAGAGGTGAGAGGCAGGGTCTTTGGAATTGAAACTCCAAAGAAACAAAGGGGCTGAAATCTCAGCTCTGCCAGTTATTGCTGCTGTGGCCTTGGCCAGCACACTTAACCTCCCTCAGTTCAAGTAATGCCTGCAACATAGGGTTGCTCTGAAGATTAGGTAAGTCATGTATTTAAAGCCTTAGCACAGTGCCTGGCATGTAATAACTATTCAATAAATGTAATATATTAGCACAATTCTAGTACTGTATCATAAATTTTGATGGTTACTTGAACTTTTTTTTTTAAAAAAAAAACAAGATTTGACCTGTAAGAATTATGGATAAGTGTTAGATTGAGTATTATTTACACAGGTTCACTTAATTGAACCACGGCAGGAGTCCTAAAACATTCTGTAAAAACCGTTTCTTGAAACGCTTGGATCATTGCCAATATGTCAGTTTAAAGTGTTTAAATAATAGGAGCGTAGTAAGAGTTATTTAGAGTTCCTGAATCCTTGGATATACACAGTTTTCATAAAAATATGATATTGGCATTCTTATACCTTCTGGTGGGAATCTTGCAGCTCTCAGAAAGGGGGAGGTCTATAATACCCGTTATGGAGAGCTGTCAGCAGACACCTGGGTCTCTAAGAGTGTGCGCTGATCTGCTTTGCGGCCTCCTTGATTGCATAGTGTGGAGCAAAATCTTTGTTGACCTCATCTATAAAGGCACTAATAATGAGGTTTGGACTATGTTTAGGGCATCTGAAAATCCATGAAAATACTTGGATTGAAACGTGTAATATATAGGACGTGTATTTTTCTGTACAGTCACGATTATATTTGTTCATTCAAGAGATGTTTATTGGGTATTTCCGTGTCAACCACTGAACTGGGCATATTGGTTCTAAAAATAAACCTGATAGTTCCTATTCTTAAGGAGTTGGCAGTGTGGTGGGAATGCAGAGATGTGAAGAGTTATAGTATCTTGAGGCAAGTGATGAAGTAGATATATATGAAAGGTGTTATGGAAGATTCACAGAGGAGCTGCTGCTTGAAATGAGTCATGAAGGATGAATCAGAGTATACTAGTTAGACCAGAGGGAGAAAACTGTTTCAGACAGAGGAGACAGTACAGTATGCTCAATGGAATGTGAGACAGTTTGTTTTTGTTGGGAAACTGTAGGTAAGTTGCTGTGACTGCTATGAAAGATGATTGTGAGGGGAGATGGAGCTGATCGATTTGCAGAGCTAGGTGGTGACTTCTGGACTGTTCAGAAAGAATTTTGCCCCAAAAGGAGTTAATAGTTTGAGATTATAACAGAGATTGGTGTCATTGGGTTTGCATTTGAGTGAGGTCATCCTTGAAGCCTGGAATGAGAATGGTCTGGAGGTAAGAGACTAACCAGGAGGCTTGTGGTAGCACCAGCTCCTTCAGGGAAGAGGGTGTGAACTCGAGCAGCAGCAATGGGACTAGTAATGATGGGGGCATATTTAAGGGCTCTTGAGGCTTGAGTAGCATCAGCAAAACCTGGTTCCTGCTTGATTGCTGATTGTGGCGGTGGGGGGGGGGGGGACGGACACGCAGAATGAAGTATGGTGCTTTCTGAATAAAGGTTGGTATGATTGAGTTATGAAGTACAGGATAGGAGGGGAGGACATGTGTATTTCATTTTTGGTGGATTATGTTTGAAGTGCTGGTGGAGTGTCTAAGTGGAGATTACCACTGGGCCATCTAGGAAATTGGTTTTAGAGTTTAGGAAAGTTGTGTAGGATTGAGATCTAGATTTAGGAATCATTAACTTTATTAGTTGAAACCTAGATGAGGATGATTAGATACAGAAGAGTATATAATAAGATGAGAGCCATGGATAGAAACTCGGTGACACTTTCCTTTAAAAGAATAGTTAGAATAGTAAGATCATAGCTTAATTGCTGTTCCAGACACTGACATTGTAAAGCTAATGAGATGATTTTAATATACTGGAATAAGATCTGTGATCATATATAGTGAGTATTCTGAGAACCGCGAGAAAGCAAGGGGCCTCATCAGCCTGAGCATGCAGGGAAGGCTTCCTGGAGGAGGTCACCATGGAGATGTGCTGTGAGGAAGCACATTGGTTTATCCAGAAGAGAGGGGTTGAGTATTTGCTGGTAGGGGTGGGATTGTGGCGTGGGGAGGCCTAAGGTAGAAACAGCCTGACCAAGCAAGTATTATTAATAGAGCATCAAGTGCAAGACTGAGAATGGTGGTGCCAGGTATAGGGCTGATGCCTCACTTTAAGAAACTTGGATTTTACCCCAGTGGTGGCAGGGAGTCTCTGAAGAGTTTAGTAAGATGGTCAAATTTGCTTCCTTTGCCACAGTGTAGACTGTGGCTTTGAGCATATCCAAGTTAGAAGCCAGAAGACCAGTAATACGTTGAGGTTGTTCAGACAAGAGATTTGAGGTTGAACTAGGGAATAGGGAAAGATTGCAAACTGGATTGGTGTAATATTTAGAAGTAACATCTGTAGGACTTTGTGACTGAATTAATGTATGGGAAAGGGAAGGAACCAGTCTTAGTATTGTGGGTGTGGAGTGTGGTCTTCGTTGATTTGGGAAGTATACGAGAGAATGCAAACTTGAGAGAAAAGGGACTGGATTTAGTTTTGGACATGCTTAGTTTTTGGCACCTGTGGTATATGCAGATGGACATAGGAAAAATTGGACATGTGTGTTTAATTTCAGGACAGAGTTCAGGGTTCAAGCTTCAGTGTTGATATATGTGTTGTAGTTTATACTGTGAAGGCACTTGAGAGAAATGCGCAAGAACTATGTAAGGTGAGCAGTGGGCTGTGGCGGGAGTGTGGGCAACTCCAGCGTTAAGGGATGGGTGAAGTAGGAGGAGCCCAGGTGGAGTCTGCCTAGGAAAGATCAGGGAATAACATTATAGGCATCCATAGGCATAACAGTGGGAAAGCAGCAAAGAGGCCTGGTATTTTAAATACTGAAAAGTACCTGTTGTTAAGGAAAAGTTTTTATATGATTTGTTAGTTCATTATGCTAAAAAATTTTTTTAGAGACAAGATCTCACTCTGTCACTGAGACTGGAGTGTATGACTATTCACAGGTACAGTCGTAGTGTGTTACAGCCTGGAACCCCTGGGCTCAAGTGATCCTCCTGCCTCAGCCTCCCCAAGTGGCTGGGACTATAAGCATGCTGCACCACTGCCCTTAGCCATTCATTTGTTTTAAATGGATGAAGGGACTTGTACTTGTTTGTTGCTGGGGAGCAGGGAACCCAGCAAAGGGGGAATGCTGAAGATTTCAGGTGGAGTAGAGAGATTGGGTTGAACAAGGTCTTGTAGGAGGCCATGAAAGGGAAGGGAGTTCCCAATATGTGAAGGTAGAAGTGGCAGGGAGAAAAGGATCATTAATATGTAGATAAATTTGTATGGCAGAGAAGAGATTTTGTACGGCGGAGACAAGATTTTGCTTGAAAGAGAAGAGATTGAGATCTTATGCTTGGGGATTTGTTGTTTTTTTTTTTTTTGAAACATGAAGTATGGCCATCTGGTCAGAGTGGAAGTAGGTAACGATTGTCAGAGGGACCAAGGAAGGTGGCAAATGCTAAAATGAGCTGTGTGGAAAAAGGATGGTAGAAATTGCAGGCACCAACTTTGAAAATATTGGCAACTACTCTTTGGTTAATGGAGTATAAATGTGGAGCAAAGGGAGAATTAGGTTTTGAAGACCAGAAAGAAGAAAAGATTGACTTAGGAAGGAAACATTGTTCCAAAGGACAGAGTGGGGAGGGTTTAGAGGGAACTACAAGGGTGGTTACTAGAGAGTTGGGAGTTAAGAGCAGAAAAGTTAAGTTTTGGGAGTGTTAGAGAGGAGAAGTGGCTGCAGGGGGCTTGTATTGACAAAGAAACTAGCCTCAGGATTCTGAATGAATCTTTCTTGTGCAGTTGTTTTCATGCCAGCTTAGGCTGCGTTTGAATGTGACATTAGAGAGAAGCCTGATGACACCTGCGTTCAAGCTGGGCTTTGGCTCAGGATCCACATAGAATTTGTGTGGAAGAGTTTGTGGTGCATTCATTGTTTTCCTTCTGTAACTCCCCGATATTCTGGGTTAGTAGAACAGTATGCCTTTTAAAATTGTCACGAGTAATAGGAATTAACCTAATAATTTCTTGGAGTTTTTTTCGGTTTATATTTAAAAACATAAATTTTGTCTATTTCCCACTAAATTCGATGAGAAGCACTTTTTACTCGTTTGTAGTATCAACATAGTACCTTTTTGATTTGTGTGATCATTTTTTATTTATTTTTATTTTTTATTTTTTTAAGGATCGCAACAATGCAAGGCAGATTCATGAGGGTGCAAGTTTACCGTTTTTTGAAGTATTTGTTGATGCTCCTCTGCATGTTTGTGAACAGAGGGATGTCAAAGGACTCTACAAAAAAGCCCGGGCAGGAGAAATTAAAGGTCAGTAATATTTTCTTCCCAGTTTCACTTTGCTTAGGATATTTTCTAAGAGATTGGAAGTGTTAGAGTAACTTGGAGCTCCTTGAGGAGAGAATGTAGTCTTATTACACTATTCTGTCTCTCAGGCATAGCAGCAGTGCTTGGTGCTGGGCTAAATGAGTCTTGTTGATCCTTTTGGAATCCTGTTCAGTAGCCAGAGTTGGGGCTCGGGAGTTGGTGAAAACCTGCTTGAGAAAATTAGGTGCTTAACATTAAGTTAATTAGGTGCTTAACATTAAGTTGCCTGCTGCCACCAATTCTACTTTCTTTGTTCCAGGGAAAATGGAGGAAATCCCATAGCTATTGGAAAAAATGCCTGAATGATAAGCATCTTGATGACGAGGATAATGCCTTGTACTTTATTACAATCCTTGGAATGGTCCCTTATTCATTTCATGTACCATGGTTGAATTAGATTGAATTAACATATCACTGATTCTATTAAAATATATACAGCTGACCCTGCACATCTGTGGGTTCCACGTGTGTAGTTTCAACCAAGCGTGAATTGCAAATATTCCAGAAGAAACAATATAAAATAATACAGCAATTAAAAAATAGTATAAATAACAAATATAGTATAACATCTATTTATATAACATTTACATTGTACTAGGTATAAGTAATCTAGAGATGATTTAAAGTATATAAGAGAATGAACATAGGTTATATGCAAATAGTACACCATTTTATGTAAAGGACTTGCGCATCCTCACATTTTGGTATTTACAGGGAGTCCTGGAACAAATCCACATGATTACCAAGGGACAGCTCTACACCTCGCTTTTTAGGTTTTATGGTCTGCTTCCCAGAGTTTCAACTGTGGTAGACATTTAGACATTGAGGGAGAAATTTAGAACCCAGCTCTGCTCTGGCCTTTGATATCAGTCATATTATTTATCTTGTAGACATTCCTTGACTTGTTCTGTTCTGTTATTGTTAACAGAAACAAAGGACTTGCTGGATTAAAAAAAAAAAAACAAAACAAACAACTAAAGATAGCATTGTTTAGGAATCAGTGAGTCCTGCAGGTAACTTTTAAGTTTGCCTTCCCAGCAGGGAATGTGATAGCCTGAGACTGTCACAGGAACTCCCAGGAACTCTCTCAATGATAGATTTTGGCATTCAGTTTTTGGCCCTGAAAAGAAAAAGATAGAGTGGGAAGGAAAATGGTAGTTATTCTGGGTTCTTCTGTATTTGGACCTGGGAATGCTTTGGCAGTTGGATCAAGTTCCATCTGCTGTGGTATCATTAGTTCCATGGGCAAGGCTGACCTCCGGTAATGCGACTATGGAGAATCAGTTCCTTGATGGGGACTCCTGCCTGTCAACCCTCTACCCCATTAAGCTGTTACTTTCTTGACTCAGAAAGAGCAGGCTGCTTGACCAGAATAATTCAGGACAATTGGAAGAAAACCTGTTTAACCCTTCAACTCCCATACTACTCTCTCAATGGCCAGTTTTCAGGTCAGTTTTTGTGTAGAAATTTGGCACAGAAAAGCAAAATGGTGTATCCTAAATAAAGTCTAAACCTTTTACTTTTTAAAATTGTAATTGGTTTTGTTGTTTTTGCACGAATGGATTGGTGAGGGAAGAAGGTTTGTCATCCTGGCTGGAGTAAGCTGCTTGTGAGCAGGGAGATCAGAGTGAACATTTTTGTGTGTTTAGAATTTAGCACAGTGCATCACCCAAAGCATATACCTGTGACACACACAGTTAATGCTTGTTGGATGGATGAGAAAGTGGAGTGGGAATGGAATATTTAACACACATTTGCCAATGCTTTGGTGACAAAAAGAGTTGAACTCTTGTCAAATATTTGAAGAGATTTATTCTGAACCAAATACAATTTGACCGTGGCCCATGACACAGCCCTCAGGAGGTCCTGAGAACATGTACCCAAGGTGGTCGGGGCACAGCTTGGTTTTATACATTTTAGAGAGGCTTGAGACATCAATCAAATACATAAAAGAAATACACTGGTTTGGTCCAGAAAGGTGGGACAACTCAAAGCCAGGTTGTCGGGGGGCTTCTAGGATATAGGTGAATTTAAACGTTTTCTGGTTGACAATTGGTTGGGTTTGTCTAAAGACCTGGGATTGATAGAAAGAGAATGTTCAGGTTAAGATAAAGATTGTGAAGACCAAAGTTCTTTTGAAGTCTTCCAGTGGCTACCCTTAGAGACAAGAGACGACAAATGTTTCCTGTTCAGATCTTAATCTCTTTTGGGAGGGTCTGGAAGAAAAAAATACAGTTTTGTTAATAAAGATTCTTTAAAGATGCAGATTTCCCCCCACAAAAAACAGCTTTGCAGGGCCATTTCAAAATATGGCAAAGAAACATGTTTTGGGGAAAACGTTTTGATTTTCTTTTTGTCTTGCAATGTTATGCCAGAGTCAGGTTGGAAAAGAAGTCATGATATATAGGGTTAAATAAAACCTATCTGATGAAAATTAATGGTTTGTAGGGCATGACTTCCCAGGCCCCCTAGACAGGAATTGGGGCAAGATAAAAAATGAGAGTTCAGTCCTCAGCTTTCTATTTGCAAGGTATATATTTGGTGCCAGGTATTCAAAGATGAATAAGACCTTGTCCACAATGCTCTTGAGTCTCTTACAGTTTGTACTCTATAACTGGGAGTGTGTTTGTGTTAGTCCAGTTTCTTGTTTACTTTCTCAATTGTTGACTATATTCCCCTGAGTAGAGGTTGATAAAATGTTCCTTAGGTTAATGTGTGTGTGTGTGTCTGTATGCATACACTGGTATTTAGGTTTCCCATGGTGCTGGAGTTCCTGATTGTAGAGTTGCTTATTTTTTTTTTTTAAAGCTTTTACTTGTAAATGGTGCTTAACAAGTTCCCTATCAACTCTGTTTCAAAGCTGTAATGGTAAACATTCCAGGACAGACAAGATTGTGTATATTCACGGGGCCTCTGGCTGTTACAGACCTTTACATGACATTTATTGGACAGTCAGTATATCCTTGTATCATTCATTATGTTATCTCAATTATTTTCATGATGACTACTTAAAATAGTTTTTATTACCTGCCTAAATATGTTTTTCCTCACAATTTACATTTATCATTGTAATTACTTATGGATAAATTATCTAGTAGGAGAACTCCAGGGCTTCTAAAATGTTAAGCCACTTCTTCTAACCCAGTGCTTGCTGCATGTAAACATTTCCTTGGGAACTTTTAAAAATCCAGTGCCAAGGCTGTACTCCAGACCAGTGAAATAAGAATCTCATGGGGTGGGACCTGGTAATTCCAGTATATCGTCACATTTGAGAATCAGAGCTTAACAATTAGTGTTCTTAACCGGATTTTTTTTTTTTTCCCCAGCCATTTTCTTGTGACCCACTGCTAAATGGGAATACTGGTAATGCAGAAATTTTTTCTTGAGTTCAGGACTGCAGAGGATGCTTAGAAATAGGAAATAGAAAAAAATGAAATAAGTGGGCTATAGGTTTGTAGTATATATTATTGAACTCTTTTGTTAGCGGTATTTCTTAATGGTAATGATTTTAAATTCATGCATACCATTCTAACGTAAGAGTGACCTAAGCTTTCCAAGATAGACAAGCCTTGAATGACTTACGTGCGAGGTAAGGTCAGGGATATAAGATAGGAATAGTCTATCTTTAACTCCGCTAACCCTCTCTGGGAAATTGTCATCTATTTGCTCTTTTCTTAGCAGTTTTATGGTAACACATATACCGTAGGAAAAATCTAAATAGTGGTTATTACTCAAATTATATTTGATTGTGTAATTTATTTTGTGATCTATTTACTATCCTTATTTATGTTTAGTTTAAGCAAATAGTAGTTGATTTGACTTAACACTTGTTATCTGATGGCAGAAGAAGCCTGCAGAGCTTCACTTTGTCCACGGATAATTCTTATGAATATACTGGACAGATTGATTTAGTGTTTGTTTTTGCATTGAGAAGAAAATAATCTTGTCAGGTTTGGTTTTATGTCCATGTCCTGTAGAGAAATTGAGATGCTTTGGATCACCTGGTATTAATTCCGTACATCTTCACAGGCAACTTGGGCATTTTCTTAAGACAAAAAAGAAAGAAAAAAGGTGACAAAAGTAGTAGAATTGATTCTTACTATTTGTGAATTCGATATTTATGAATTTGCCTACTTGACAAAATGTATTTGTAATCTCCACATCAATACTCCTGGCACTTTCACGGTCAGTGCAGCACGTCCAACACACCTGACACAGTTCCCAGCGAAAATCGACAAGACAGCACTTTGCCTTCTGGGTTTAGTTCTCAAACCATAAACAGTTTTTCTTCGTACAGCCTGTTTGGTGCCACATTTTTTACATTTTTATGCTATTTTGGGTAGTTTTGCAGTTTAAAATGGCCCTCAGTACAGGAAAAAAAAAAAGTTTAATTAGAAATCTCCCAAGAAAGACACTTCATTACTATAATCCTGTGACTTGGAGGACAGCGCAGATACTAACTTCAATGTAGCAGAGGTCTGTGCTGAGAAAACAAAGCAATTTTAATTTTATTTTCCACCCTACTCTGTTATCTGGTACCTTTCACAGGTTTCACTGGGATCGATTCTGAATATGAAAAGCCAGAAGCCCCTGAGTTGGTGCTGAAAACAGACTCCTGTGATGTAAATGACTGTGTCCAGCAAGTTGTGGAACTTCTACAGGAACGGGTAAGAGAAGATGAAAGAAGGGCTCATCAGAGAAAAATTGTATCTTTCTCATAATCTTCCCTCTCCAAAAAAAATGGTGGTGTTAATATTGAGTAACGTTTATATTTTAAATGCTTTGAAATGCCAACAGTGTTCTGTGTCTGTATGTCAGTGTGAGGTGTTGTGGGGAACACCATGAATGTGCAGTGTATGAAATATCCCCATCAGTATAAACCTCAGGAGGCTTAGGAGTCAAACAGTCTTGTACTTTACCAGTAATTTTACCACAGAAAAATACCTAACAGAAAATCCAGCCATGATTATTCAGTCCTGTAACTTGATAGTGTTATATTTTTCAATTTGAGGTATACAGAGTAGTTAAGTTTTCTTAGACATTTAGAGCGCCCACATTTTCCTTGTGATAACATGCTGATCTCCTTATGGGTGGATTCTAGAGAGGGACCTGTGGAGGATGTAAGTTTCTAGGACATAAGGACCTTTGGGTGCCTGGACATATGGAGGCATGAAGAGGCTTGATGTTCTCCAGGGTACTGAGGCCCACTAACAAGTGCAGGGTTCCTTCAGACTTTAGTCTGGGTTTTTAGAAGTTTTCTTTCCCTTGTGCTTTGTCCATACTACCCTCAGTCCCCTTTCCCCTTTTCATTGGAGGGTCACATAGTTCACTGTAGTTGGAGAGGATCTGGCCTCTGTGTGGGTAGCGGTCTTGGGTCAGTGATTACCCTGTCACCTTGTCATGCATCCACCCTTTGCTGTTCAGTCCTGACCTAGAGGTACACAGAAAATGAGGCATCATCTTTCCTCATTCTGTCCTAACTGCGGGTTTTGGAGTTCGAACCCACTCTTAGTCTACAAAACCCTGTAATAAACCTCTTTCATCTAGTGTATCTTATAAACCTCTTTCATCTAATCTGTCTTAACTGGATATATTCGACATACAACTTTAAAGAAATTTCTTTGTCTGAATATATTATAAACATTTAGCCTTTGATTTTTTCCATATTATATCTACCAAGTAGATAATGTGGGACTTTCCTTCCTATTTTATTTATTTTATCCAAACATTGTAGCCGAATAAATATACATAATGTAAATCGATACGCTCTGACGTTTTTCTCTGTATTTACTGTTGAGGTATCATTATTTGCAGGTCACTGAGACATCCCAGGAGGTTTTATGCTTTGTCATCTCTGCCTTCTAGGTTTCTTTTTAAATGACTTCTGCACTCTTGTTCTAATCCTATTGTTCTACTTTTAGCTTCCTTCTCATCTCTCCAAAGCTGTCCCAGCATCCATTCTTTCATCATCCATCATCAACCACATATTGATTAAAAGCCCACTACTGTAGATTTTACAGTCCTAGGCGCTAGTAATGCAAAGATTTATCAGCAGTGTCTCCATCCTTGAGGAATTTACATTATAAGTGATAGAAACAGATATAAGAGTGTTTAACTCCTAGGAAGTGTGTTAGAAATCATGATTTCAGTTATGTCCATGGCATACTGGGAGGCACAGGGGAATGAATTTGGAAAGGCTTTTTATCAGTCTTTCTCATCTGTTTGTTCATTTTTAGAAAATACTTTTACTGGGCATAGAATTCTGCATTGACAGATTTTTTTTTCTTTTAGTGCTTTAAAGATGTTCCATTTTTTTTGTTTGCTTCATTTCTGATGAGATGTATAATGTAATTCTTTTCTTTGTTCCTCTGTGTGATTTTTTTTTCGTGTCTGAATTTAAGATTTTCTGTTACTCCTTGGATTTTAGTGGGTTTAATATCATGTGTCTAGGTCTTGTAGTTGATTTAGGTCTTTTTTCTTCCTGTTTAGAATTCCCCAACCTGCTTGGGTAGATACATATTTTTTTCATTAGTTTTTGAAAACTCTTGGCCATTAACATGTTAAGTATTTCCTTTGCCTTTTTCACTCTTCTTCTGGTACTCTAGTTACCCATATGTTAAATAATATATTGTCCCACAGTTTTTAGATGCTGTGTTTCTTTCATCCCTTTTCTGTTAACATTTTAGCTTCGGTAATTTCTAATAACTGATTTTTAAGTTTGCTGATTCCTTAACTGTATCCAATCTATTCATATGCTCATAGAAGGAATTTTTAAATTCTGATAATCATTAAAAAACAATTCTCATTATTTGACTTTTTTTTTTGACAGTATTCATTTTTCTGTTGAAATTCTCCATCTCTCCATGCATGCTGTCCACTTTTTCATTAGATCCTTTAACTTAATCCCAGCTAAAAAGCCCTAGATTGAGGATTGCTTGAACTTGGGAGGTGGAGGTTGCAGTGAGCTGAGATTACACCACTGCACTCCAGCCTGGGTGACAGAGTGAGACTCTGTCTCAAAGAAGAAAAAAAAAAAAATCCTGCCTTATGGTTTGAACATGTGTGTTATTTCTGAATCTCATTTTGTTGAGATTTGTTTGTCATATCTCTTGACAGTGGGTAGTTTTTCTTGCTTTTTGGTGTATCTTGTAATTTTTTGTGAATGCTGGACATTGTGTCTAGATGTACAGTAGAGATTGAGGTAGTGTTTATGTCATGGGCATGTTTCATTTTCTGTCATACTGTTATTGTAGTAGGTTGATTTAGCCCTCAGCTGGATTTGGCTGTCCTTGTTTCTTATGAAGTTATTCTTACTGCATCACAGGCTTCAAATTTCTGCAGTGGTGGACTCTTCTACCTTGTACTTAGCATGGGGCCTGGCCTGCTCTTGGGTTTTTCTTAGTGTTCCTCCTTCATCCTCAGTGTTCCCTGTATACCTGTACCACAGGAGTCTTCTTCCTGTTCGTCTCTCAGCAGCATACTGCTGTGGCTTATCACTTGGTGCTAGGCTCATGACTAGGAAGTGGTGATGATTCTCAGTTTCCTTGCCCAACTTCAGTCTAAGGCATGACCTGTGCTCCTGAGTCTTGAGGTGGGTTTTTCTCAGTGCTTCTTCCTCTCCCTGCGTAACAGTTAATCTCTGCTTTCACCCTGGGAGGCTTGGAGGGGAGTTTTGTTTTTCTCACATGCATTGGCATGTTTTGTATCTGTTTTGTACTAGCTACCTGGTTTGTACGAATGCAGGATCTTGGGCCCAAAAGGATTTCCTTCATCTCCTTCTTTTTGGCAGACCATATTTGCTTCCACCCCTCCCCCAGAAACAGAGGACCCTGGGAAGGTTTGAGGGTTTCCTTTCCTTTTTCGTTAGCTTAAGGCTTTTGTGGTTATGAAAGAAGGGTCTAGTGAGTGAGCATAGTTTTTTGCCTGTGCCCCACTGAAGAAGACTCTTTTTAGTCTCTAGACCTCCTCCTGATTTATGTTCTGAGCACCTGCCATAGGCGTGCTTGTGCGTGAGTTCAGGACCCCTTGTGTCTGGTACCCCCAGTCCCCCATTGTACTAAGCCTGTCACGCTAGTCCACACTCAGCCTTTAAAAGTTTTAAAGACATTTTAGCTCTTTTCTTCTTACCTGCCTTTATTGTAGCCACCTCTTCCTCCCATGTTCTGCTACAGGTAAGCAGTTCATGTGCCTGGTCTTTTCTTGGTGGGACTTGTCACTTGGAAGCGTTCATCTCACTGCTTTTTTTCACCTCAGTTCTGCAATGGGCTCAAGAAAGTTTATGATTGTAGATTGGCTGGCCTTTTCATTTGTTAGGTGATGCTCTCTTTTGAAATCTCTGTTTTGTTTTCAATGCATTGTTTATCCTTTCTCTTCAGTTTTACTCTGTTGCTGTTGTATATCGTTTTCTTAGAAATTTGTATAAAATTCTAGTTCTAGACATAGATATTAAATCCATCTCATTTTTATTGAAACTATAGTTCTAGTATTTTGCCTTTTCATTTTGATTGTAGTTTTGTTTGAGTTTTTTTGTACACCGAACCTATCTTTTTTTAATTTGAAATTTGCTATATCATTGTTACAAAGTTGACCCTCTGTATCTGGGGTTCTGTGTCTGTGGGTTCCACATTTGTGGATTCAAACAACCATGGATTGAGAATATTCAGGAAAATTAATACAACAATGAAAAAGAATACAAATTTTTAAAAGAATACAATGTAACAACTACTTATATAACATTTACATTGTATTAGGTATTATAAGTAATCCAGAGATGATGTAAAGTGTATGGGAAGATGTGTGTAGATTGTATGTGAATGCTGTGCCATTTTATATCACTTGAGCATCTATGGATTTTGGTGTCCTCAAGGGGTCCTGGAACCAATTCCCCTCAGATACTGAGGGATGGCTGTACAGTTTTATTATTTGTTTTGATTTTTTAAATATCTAGTTAGTGATTCGTAAGTGTTTTATCTCAGAAAAATGCACATATTTAATAGATAGCATTTTATATAATTTTATGGGGCTTATTAATCTTTGACTATAAATTCCAGATAGTTCAGACATGTTTACGGGATTATTAAGCTTGATTTGTGTTGGATGCCACAGGTTTCTCCCACCTTCTTCCCGTCTTTCTCTCTTTAAATTCGTAATCACTTCTTTGGGGCCCTATTTAGAATACTATCCTTTGGGTTTGACACTTTCCCTGTGTATAAGCTCCTTTTTTTCTTCAGGGAGGAGGATAATTTTAAGTTTTTCTTGGAAAAAAAAAACAAAAAAAAAAACCCATAACTTGGTTTTGAGAAAATTTTGCAGCTTTTCACTTATTTTTTCACTAACGTTCTTCCTGTTCCAGGATTCGATCCAGGATTCCACATTGTATTCAGGGTTCAGTTGGTTTTTAACTATAATTCTGTATAATGAAAATACAGATTCCTGTGGTATTTGTGATGCACAGGACTTTGCATCTTGCTTTTTTTCTCTGATGGTTTAAAAACTGAAGGTAAATTGACACTGTGTGATTTTAGGATCATACTATCCCATATTCCCCTAACTGGTTACCGTACCTCCAGTTCTGTGTGCCCTTTTGTCCATCCTATGATATTCACAAAATCATCTTTCGAAAGTGTAGTCTAGGCATTTCCCTTTTTTGCTGTAAAACACTTACTGA